GGGTCCATGTCTGATTATTATCCTCCATGCCCAGCCTAGAGCCTTATACACATTAATGCTCATTATAAAGAGTCTGAGTCTCAGAATTTCAGAGTTGAAAGGGCTCTTAGAGGAAACCTAGTTTGATCACTGTATTTTTGCAAAGCCCAGGCAGGTTAAGCAATTTACTCAAGATCACACATTAAATTAACGATAGAGATTAGATTTAAAGTCAGCATTCTGAGTCCAGCTACGGTTTGTGAATGGTTCAAGAAAATTACTGAATAAAGACTTCTTTCCTCTTGTTCAGAGTTGGAATCCTATATGAAATAGGAAAGGAGCTAGGGCTTTGAGAAGAAAACAATAGAAAGAGAAGGTACAGAGTTTAAAATGAAATAAATATACTCACTTGCTCCTCATACAAGATCGGTTTATATTCTGGTAACAGTGAGGAGGTCTAGTATTTCTAGACTGAGCAGGTCTCAGCCAGGGGACCAGGGAAAGAGACCACGTAACCCTTTGGGCAAAGTCTGGGGAGGGACCATCTGACACCTTCGTGATAAAGAAAAACCTCCTTTTTGTCCTTCTTTGTCACAAATGTTTTCTCTCTTTCTCCTCTCAGGCTCATCCATGCACACAGTTCCTTTCTTTAATATGGCAATGTTTTCTTTCATGCTTACGTTTTGATTTATGCACAATAAAGTCAGCCTTTTTAATGTGAATGCCTTTGGATTTGGGAACAAACATGAGATTTTGAGATCTAGCTATCCCATTACAGGTAAGGTCTTGGTTAAATATCTAAGTCACTCTGAGGATTAATTTCTTTATCTCTAAAATCTCTAAAATTATCTTGAAAGTGATAATTAGCTGATACAGCCATTGTCAGGCCTATATATACTAAGTCAGAGTTTTTCTTAACTTGGTCTGTAGACCTGCCTCAGTCTCATGCAGATGTTTGATAGAAATGCATATTCCTGGGCCCTGCTCTAGACCTCTCCATTTAGAATCTCTGACGGTGGGCTCCCAGAGCAGGCATTTTATCCCAGTGATTCTCATGTGCACTTAGGTTTAAGAACCACTGAATGATTTGGAAAAGTGCTTTATACAGTGTAAGGCATTGTATAAATGCAATCTTAAGAACATTTACTTTTGTACCCAAATTGTCTTGATCTTTGCTCCTCTTGGCTCAAAAATCTCTCTAGAGAACCACCTCTACAGGGGGCAGCATCTAAATAGTCTAAGGACGCATGGATGAAGGCAGATATCTACCTGACTGGTAATTCTGTAGTCTGCTTAAGGCTTGACTCACCAGCCTTTTAAGAAAATTATGTCAGGTTGTTGAGTGTGTATAATAACTGGATGGGGATTCAGGCAGGAAGATTGAGACACACTGCTGAACAAAGGAAGAAATCTCTGCAGCTGGAAAGAAGAAAATGAAGTTGAGCACAGTGTTCCATACAAATGCAAGACCTGTTATACAGTATTTTAAATGTCTTATGTGCTCACACACAGAAAGTAAAGAGGAAATCTATACCTTTATCATCTCTTAACTAGATTTATATTAATCCCTCAATTATTGTCTAGTTGGGTAACCTTTCTTGTATCTCCTTGTACCTCATAGTGGGAGAGGAGAACCCAGGCTAAATCATTTCCTTGCCCCCAGCAAGAGGCTGTTGGCTTTGTTGAAGCGGGCTATGCTTCACGTGATGGCAGTGGGCAGAGTACCTCGGTGGGAGCTGCCGTCACCTGGTCCAGCACTGCCTTTCTCTTTAGGGGAGTACTGACCTCAAGATTTGCCTGGGTTTTATGCTGCATGAAAACCCAGGTTATTCCCAGACGGACTATCTGAAAGCTCAAGAGACAGCCATATGGGGTTTAATAGCCGTTGGTTAGAAACTCTGACTCTAAGATCTGCTTTTGCGTTTTGAACTTTTTAAAAATGCATTTTCACTAAAGAAATTAGATTGTTTTCAACAAGCAGAAGAGTAGAACAGGGAAAGCTATAAAATAGCTGGGATTTATGGTCTAGCTCAGAGGTGATTTTTTTCAACTCAACTAGGCTGAAATTACTGCAGTCTTCCCCTTAGAGCTTCTTCAGAATTTATTTTCAATTTAGACTGTGTACCTGTAAAAATAGGATACAGAATGATCCTGCAGTTTCTGAAGAAAAGTCTGGAAACCTAGACTGTGCCATGCTTATAAACAAATTCAATTATATTTGTTATAAAGCCTTGCTTGGATTGAGACTCCAATTTTCCAATCGCTTTACCCAGGAGCTCTATTATTAACTCTTTATTTGGTGTGTCTTAATAGACACCCCGTGCAGCCTTTAAAGATACTTTTAGGTGGAGTGTAAAAGAAGAGTAGTTATGAGGAGACCTGATTTTTCGTTTTGATTCTGCTTTTCTGTATATTTCTTCATAATGAAGTCATAACCTCTTGGGCCATAGCTTTCTCATCCATGAAATGAGAGGAGGTTGAACTAGATCCGTATTTCTGAACTGCTATTTCCTAGAACACCTAAAATACCTGAAACTAATCGCATGCGGGAATCAACAATTTAGATATTTTTAATATGTTGTATACCCCCTAACTTGATTTCAGAATTAAATATTCAGAAAATCTGTAATATCCCAAATTGTGGAGCACATGTATGCAAAAGCTTGTTATTTGATTGCTATTGAAGGGACTGAGTAAGAATGAGGAGATCTAGGTTTGCAGAAAATTACTGTATAACCTTGGATGTGTCATTTGCACTCATTTTCTGTCTCAGTTTTCTCATTTGTCATTTACTTCATCAACATCCCGTGACTCTCCTGAGAGTCAAATTAAGTTTGAACACATCTAATCTCTCTTCATCATGTTATTTTGATAACGATGTGCAAGCAGGCCTGCAAAAAAAATGAAACTTCTAAGGAACTTCAACTTTTATTATGAGATTTTATTGGGATGGTAAGTTGAGATTGAATCAGTGTAAAAAGAGGAAAGTGACAAGATGCACTAACGGTCTTCTTGTCCCGAACAGAGTAAGGTCTGGAGTGGCAGATTGGTTTCATCTGTAGGGCCGATTCTAGTAGATTCCAGCGGCTGTTGAATGTGAGGAAATGTAAGGGGGCAAAGTGTAAGGGCTGGGATCTGTGAGCCATGCCTGGCATGTAGCCCGGAGTGGGGCATAACAACATGTGCTCCACACGTCGGCTCACCTGCGCTTGACATGTCCACCTTTTCGAGAGGATACATACCCACAGATAAAGTTGATCCAGAGGTTGTGATATTCTGTCTGTTATATGAGTCTTTGGAGCATCTGGAAAGTCCTCAGGCAAAAACAGTGAAAAAGATGAACCCAATCAAAATTGGCATCTGTGAGAAACATGTATACCATGATAGAAATACATGTGCTTTGGATCTATTCCTCTTTTTATCCTAGAATTTCTTGCCTATTTTTTCTTAGGCTTGAAACTTTTTTCCTGATTTCTGTCTTTCATGGTCCAGTTCATGTCCCAGCCTTTCCATGAAGCTCTTAGAGGAGATCATAGCTTAACTTTCCCACGCAGGCAAGGTGTCTCATGACATCTTACACAGGGATATTCACACATTGGATCAACCAATAGATGAACCACTAGCTATACTATAAGAAATACATAGTATATTATACATAATGTAAATATATGTTAACAATATAAGAAGTCTTATATAGATGGTTAATGTTGATTTTATTTTTAGTTGAGTTTATTTTTAAAGAAAATATAGAGAAAAGTGAGCAAGCAGAAGGATCTTATTGTTGTCCAAATGGCTTTATTTTCCCTGAGTCCTAAAAAAGTCCACAGTCGGCAAAAGAGAAAAATAGCTTCACAAAAAGGGATGAACGAGGACTTTCCTGAGCCTCCTCGGGAATGCTGATGCAGAGTTTGCTGGTTAGGCAACATACCATTTAGAGATCAGGGCAGGAATCTCTTAGCACGGAAGTGTGGCTACCCAGAAAATTACAGTTGTGTAATCCGTTTTTCTGTTAAAAAACTGGAGTCAGGAAAGCAAAATACTTCAAACGGAAATAGGTCAGATCACAGATTCTGTTTTAAAAATCACTTTCTGATCTTACAGAGAATTGCTGCATTGGCTCAGACTGGACCTCTGACGGAATAATCAATCAATTCCACATGGACCAAACGTACTCTCTTCCCTTCTACGGAGCGAGTTAGCGTGTGCATCCTGACCTGTCCACTTTGCTTCTTTGTGTGTGTTTGTGTATGTGTGTGTGTGTGTGTTTATGTTGACTTTCCTCCTCTAGAATATGAGGATAATAATAAGGACCATGTAGGACCGTTGAGAGAATTCGATGAAATAATGTAGGTGGATGTGCTTTGTAAGCTAAGAATATAAAATACTGTATAACTATATTGTATTATTATAGCTTTTCTCATTTGAGTGTGGATTAAATAGAATACTTTTCACTTGGGAGGATATAGACGAAATCAGGGAAAAGAGTGGTTATAATGGATAATCTAGTTAAGCGTGAAGTGGGAGAGAAAAACTTATAGTTTAGCAGGTTTCTTTTTTAACCTATATGAAGTTGATTGGTTTGTATAACAAAGTACCATCTGTTAGAATGTTCCAGTAAAGAGAAGAAACATGGAATAACCCTTCTTTCCTTTTCCCCTTGCCAAAGACCTAAAGATTTGTTTAATACTTTTTTGAGCACCTAATATGTACCAGGAAGTGTTTTGCATACTAGGATATGATGGTGAACAAGACAGCTAAAACTTCTATACTCTTTTCAGTGGTGATGAGAGAAAGGGGGGATAATAAATGAATTAATTAATAAGATACTATCAAATATTGATAAGTGCTATGAAGAAGCAAATAAATGGATGTGATGGAGCATGGCTGCAGTAGGGGGTGTGGTGGCCATGAGAATCTCTTGCTCTGAAGAACATCATTGACTGATGGCCTCATCTGCTGCACCCAGAATCCACTGCCACGTTCATGCTGGGGTTGCACTTTCCAAGGGCTGCTCCCCACCAGTCACTCATCATGGTGGGGGTACTAATGCTGGCCCATTGCTGTAGGATGAAGGACTCTTCCAATGGTGACTATGGCTTGAGAACTTGACATCAGCCTTGCCAAAACTCTGTTAGAACTGTAGCATAGGCTAAGATGCCTCTTACCCAAACCTCCTTCCTTTCCTTTCTTCTCACAGGGGTCAAACTTACATCACAGTGTGATGGCTCCCCCAGCTCCCTCACAGGCACGCCTCCCAGTACATCTCTTACACCTCTAATATCTCTTGGTGCCTGCTTCTCAGAGGACTTCAACTAACTCAGGGGAGGAGTTGGTAATTTCAGTTTGTGTCAGCCAATGCCTACTGGAGGAGAAGATGGCTGAGGTGAGCTCTGGAGGAAGAGCATTTCAGGAAGACAGAACATCAAGCGCAAAGGTTATAAAGCATGGGTGTGATTGGCATGTTCAAGGAGCAGGGAAAAGGACAACGAGCTGACAAATGTGGAGAGTGGGGGAAGGAACGTTAGGAGGGAATTTCAGAAAGGAATGCAGAGAACAAATCACGGAGGATCTTGTAGGTCATGTTGATAAAGTTGGGTTTTATGTTAAGTACCGTGGGAAACCACTGGAGCATTTTGAGCTGATGAGTGAGTGAGACGGTCTGAGAGAGAAAATACTTTCTACAGCTGTATACTCTGCAAACATGTAGTCCTTTTGACATAGAAGACAATGGGTACATGCAGTGAGGTTTTCTCTCTCTGCCTTAACCACCACAACCTCTTCTTCCCCCTACTTCTTCAGTCTGGGAAGGGGATGGAAGAAGGTAAGTTTTGACCTTGATGACTGGGAGAGTTGAGAAAAGCATACCACACTGCCTTTATCCAAAGACTATATACCTTTGACATTCCTCTTCTCCAGATCAAATTAGGGGGAACAGTGTCAGATTGGTCAGTCTGTTTACTCTTCGAAAGTCTTTAATTCAATCTTTACAATATCTTGCTGGGTCTGAGGTTTTGTTTAACAACCCCCCATCTCTCTTCATGCTTGCCTAATCTTGGATTTTAGATCTTTATTTTTCTCTTACAGATCTGTCTGCACACAGTACTTTTTGATCCTCATTTCATTTGCCCAGACAGGACTTTGGGTTGTCTATACCCCTTTCCCTGATACAAGACATTCTTTCATGTATACAAGACATTCTTTGTGATGTCTAACAAATGTAGTTGAACATCGGTCACTTAATACTGTATTGACCGTGTTCCCCAACCCTTAAGGACATGCTTACATATACAAACTTTTGTAATTGCAATAATGGCAGATGCCCAGAGGATGCCAATTGTATGACCTGTGGCTGTGGGCATGTCTTGGGAGTAAGCCCTTATTGAGCTGCATTCTCATATCTCATGGAAGTGATCACTCACTTTATAATGAGTTACTTATGAAGTGGCCATCATGGGCCAACCTTTGACCTAGGTGATGGGGATACAGTGGTGATGACCTGAATATACACAGTCCCTACTCATGAATCTTAGTATTTGGTAGAACGGAAAGAGTGTGGATAAGAAAGCCTGAGCATGACATCTGCATTCAGAACTTTATAGCTGTTGTGCTTTGGGCAAATTCCTGACTCTTTTTTCATCCTAAAGTTCCTCATCAGTTAAACAGGGATACTAATAAGTCCCCTGCTGCTACTAGGGAGGTTGTAAGGGTCACATGAAATAATAAAACATCATAGCTGTGCAGCACATTAGATTCTTATTTGTTTTATTTTGTTTTTAAGTAAACTTTTTAGAACAGTTTTAGATTCAGAGAAAAACTGAGAAGATAATATGGAGGGTTCCTGTATGCTTCTGTACACAGCTTGCCCTATAATTAGCATCTTACATTAGTATGGTAAATTTGTTACAAGTAATGAACCAGTATTAATGGATTATTGTTAACTAACGTTTATACTTTATTCATATTGTATTAGGTTTTACTAATGTTCTTTTGATGCTCCAGAATCCCATCCACCATGTCACATTACATTTAGTTGTCATGTCTCCGTAAGTTCCTCTTAGTTGTGAACATTTCTCAGACTTTCTGTGTTTTTTACAACCTTGAGAGTTTTGAGCAGCACTGGTCAGATACTGATATATTATGTGATGTCCCTCTATTGGAATTTATTGCTTTCCTCGAGACTATGATTATGGATTTTTTGGAGGAAGATCACAGCCATAAATTTGCATTTTTATCACATCATTTTCAGGCTCCATACTATGAACATGACTTATGACTGTTGACGTTGCCCTTCGTCACCTGGCTGAGGTAATGTTTGTCAGATTTCTCCACTATAAAGTTATTTCTCCCCATCCCCTCCTTCCCTACTGTACTTTTTGGAAAAGAGTCACTATACACACTCACACTTAAGGTGTAGGGAGTTATCTTTTACCTCCTTGAGGGCAGAGTATTTACACAAAGAATTTGGACTTTTTCTGCATGGGAGACTTCTCTCTTCTCCCCATCTATTTATTCAATCACTTACTTATATCAGCATGGACTCATGATATTTATTTTATTATTTGGGTTATTTTCCAGTACAACTTTAACTTTTTCTCAGACTGTTTCAGCTTTGGTCGTTGGTTGGCTGTTGTGTTCCTTTAGCATACCTAATCATTGTGGCTTCCTTCCTTCCTTCCTTCCTTCCTTTCTCCCTCCCTTGCTCCCTTTTTTTCTCTCTTTCTGTCTCTCTCTTTCTCTTTTTCTTTCTTTCTTTCTTTCTTTCCTTTCTTCTCTCTTTCTCTCTCTCTTTAGCACTTTCTTTTACTTTCTGGCACTGCAAGATGTTCCACATTCATCTTATATATTTACTTTACTGCCTGAGTTGTAGAGTTTGTCATTTCTTCAATGAGCCCTGGTTCCTGTTACTGGAGAATAGTATGAGAAAAAAAGATCAGCATCCGTTTTTTATCCATTCATTTATAAAGGACATTTTGGTGGCTTCCCGTTTGGGGAGATTATGAATGAAGTTACTGTAAACACTTGTGTGCAGGTTTTTGTGTGGCAGCTGAGTGTTTGAGGCATTTTTAACTTCATTTTTTCATTTTGATTTTCAGAACATTTGGGGGTAGGGTAAATGAAATAACATCATACCTGTGTTACACATTGGAAAAGACATGGAAGAGATGAAGTTCTTGCCTCAGTTTGTACAACTGGTAAAAGGCAGAGCTGAGACATGAAGGTAAATCTTCTAACCCCAAATCTCTGTTCCTCTATTAATTCATAATTCATGTATTATCTAGCTCTCAGTAAATTATTTGAGAAAATAATTGAAAACTCTTATGTACTACCCAAATGTTAGTTATTTTATTAAACCAGAGCTTCTTCTTGTTGTTGTTTTTGATTGTCTTTGTCACTACATCCATCCCCCCTACAAAGCACAGACAATGAAAGAGTAATCTGCTATAATATAAATTAAAAAGGGAAATGCAAAGGTCACCCCTATTCTTTGCTACTTTTCATTTTATTGCTTTACTTAGAGAATGCTGCTAAGACACCTATTCTTCATGTTTTGTCATTACCCTTTATTATCCTTTGCCATTGCTTTCAATAATTTTGGGTGGTGTATAAAATGTATTTTAAATTAATAATTTAAATTAATAATCATAATTTTTAATTAAAATCATTATATGTAGCAATTGCACATTTACCATATACTAGACACAGGGCTAAGCCATTCACTTTCTTCCTTTGTTCCTCACAACCCTCAGAGGTAGCTTCTATTATTATCCCCATTTTTCAGATGAGGAAACTGAGGTTCAAGGAAATTATGTAATTTGCCCAGGAACCTGCAGTTAGTAAGAAACAGGAATAGAGCTTAGGATCTGCTGAAGTATTCTGTTTTCCACATTTTATTAATGATTTCCAGAGATGCATTACCTTCAAAAGCAGAGTAGTCATATTAGAGATGAAAACTTGATATTGAGGGCATGGGAGAAGGAAAGCTACTGTGGGGGTATGGCAATGCCACTGCACCTAGAGTGGCAAACCAGACGAGGGTGTCCTGTAAACACAGTTACTGAACAAAAGAAGTTGAACCTAAGGAAAGAGGAAATATAGTATCTCCCCCTGGTGACACCGTCTAATAAGAACAGCCGTTGCTCTGGGGTACTGGCCCATTATGTTAAAGTGATAATGGTGCAATTAGCTCTTTCTTCATTTTCCCATGTTAACCCAGGGGTGAAATGGCACACTGAGCAAATATACTAAATTACATTGAACTTCGTGTTCAATTTGAAAATCTTAGCTGCTGGCTGCAGAGAGATTAGCAGGCTCTAGCAAATTTTTTTTTTCTTTTTTGTCTTCACCTCCACCTTAATGAAAAACCTTAGCCGTAGCACTGATTGTTTTTATCAGATGCAGCACAAGCTCCTGCAGGCGGCTCTGAGTTGGCGCTGTGAGGTTTCCAGAGAGAACTCTGGGCATAGGTTAGTAGAGTGAAGCTTATGTAATAACCAATAAATATTTCTTGGGAAGAATATTAGGGTAGTGCTGGGCATAGTGCTGGGCATAAGGATGATGGCCATTTATACCAAGAAAAAAGTTTGCCTCTGGGATCCTGGTCTAGTCAGCATCACTGGCATTAGGAAGGCAGTGCTAGTCAGGAATTCAGAAGTGGGACCCCAGTGTTTTGGTACCCTATCCCTGCAGAAATTCAGCTGGCTTTCAGATCAGTGAGCTCCAGAATTTGCTAAGTGTTTCTAACATGTGGCTCTGTTAAGCAAGCCAGATTGGGGAGACTGAGGTCTTTGGCCTATTAAGGTCACATTTATACATTTGACAAATTTTTACCGATGACGTATACTATGTATCAAAGAGTGTACTATGTTCTGGGTTCATGAGGAAAAATAAGAAACAATCCTAAACTCAAGAAAATCACAGAGTGGGGTTGAGACAGACAACTATATAATAATGTATGAAGTAAAATGAATACTACTTCACACATTATTATAAAAAAGGAGGGCCATATCAATTTATCGAAACATTGCCTTATTGTGATCTTTTCCAGCTACAGGAGACCAAAAATGTGTGTGTGTGTGTGTGTGTGTGTGTGTGTGTGTGTGAGAGGGAGAGAGACAGAAAGAGACAGGGTGAGGGCATCCCCTTCCCACACACATAGAAGCCTTTGAGCCTGCCGTTTTGTCAAGAATTTGATAAACAGACAAACAAACAAACAAAACTTGTTTTTCAGGACTACAAATGAAAGTTGCCAGACACAGAGTGGAACTGGCCTGTCCCAAAGAAAAGAGGTTTAGCTCCTCCTAGAATGAGTCAATTGGGCAATGAAACCATGTGTGTCTAAACTGTACTGCTGTATCTTTCCTCAAAGCGCCCAGAGAGGAGATGGGACCTCTGTTGAGGCTATACCCTGGGTGGGGATGGGAGGTGTCTAATGAATATTACAAGGTGAACCTACATTTAACACTGGACCATCTTCACATGGATCAGATGGTCATGGACAGCGAGCAGTGTAATGGCAGCCATAACGGAGTGAGGACCAGAGCTATCTTTTCTCTATTTTCTTGGTAACATGTAAGTACCCCCTCGCTTACCAACACCTCAATGCATAAGTGATACCACGGAGGTGGTACTCAATTGTGACAATTTAAAAAATTTTTCCATCCTGACATTTGAGGGTTTGAAGTTAAATTATGTTTTAATTAAATTAAATGTAAATATAATTTAATGTAAATATTAAGTTGAGAAAGTAAGAGTGTAACATTAAAAAAAAATAAACTCTTTGTTTTTGAATGACTTTAGATTTACTAAAAAGTTGCAGAGATGGTGCAGAGGGTTCCCATAATCCTTTACCTAAATTTGTATCACCCGGTAAATTTCCCCTAATGTTATTGTCTTATATTATCTTGGTACATTTGTCAAAACCGAGAAGCCAACAGTGACGCATTATTATTAGCTAAACTCTAAATTTTATTTAGAGTTCACCATTTTTCCCATTCATGTCCTTTTTCTGTTCCAGGAACCAATCCAGGATATGGCATTGAGTTGTCATGTCCCCCTAGTTTCTTCTGGTTTATGACAGTTTCTCAAACTTTTCTTTTTTCCTTGACCTTGACAGTTTTGAGTACTGGCCAAGCATTTAGTAGAATATTCCTCAAATTGGGTTCATCTGATCTCTCTCTCATGATTAGTCTGGAGTTATGGGATTTTGGAAAGAACACCACAGGTATAAAGTACATTTCTTATCACTTCATTTCAGATGTTCATGACATCAAGGATACTAACGTGATCACTTGGTTAAGAAGTACCTGTCAGATTTCTACAGTCTATAAATTTACTATTTATCCCTTTCACCTGCATTCACTAAGTTCAGCCCGTACTCAAAATGTGGGAGAGATTGAGAAGGCAGAGGCCTTCTGGAGGGAGTGTTTCTACATGAATTTGGGATTCTTCTGTAGGGAAGATTTGTGTCTTCTCTCCCATTTATTTGCTTAACTGGTCATTTATTTATTATATCAGTATGAATTCATGTGCTATAGTCTGAATGTGTCTCCCCCAAACTCATATGTTGAAATCCTAACACCCAAAGATGATGTGGTATTAGGAAGTGGGGCCTTAAGGAGGTTCTTATGTCATGAGGGCAGAGCCCTCATGAATGAGATTAGTGCCTTATAAAGGAGACTTCAGAGAGATTCCTAGCCCCTTCTACCATGTGAGGAGACATTAGGAAGCTGCCAGCTCTGAACCAGAGAGAGGGCCCTCACAAGAGCATGACAACGCTGATGACCTGATCTCAGATTTCTGGCCTCCAGGGGTGTGAGAAATAAATTATTGTTGTTTATAAGCTACCCAGTATGTGGTATTTTGTTGTGGCAACCCTAATTGGCGAACATGGTGTACATTTAGTTTATATTCTGTGTTATGATCCAGATATTGTTGCATAAGTTTTTCCAGCTCTGGTCATTGGGAGTTCCACTGGTTTAGTTCTTGTGTCCCTTTGAGATGTCCTCATTGTTCTATTTCTTGAGCATTTTCTAACTTCCTGATACTACCAAATGTGTCAGGCTTAACGTTTAATTTCCCTGCCATGACCCTAGAATCAGCCGTTTCTTCAGGGAGGCTTATTTTATTGGAGGATGGTATTTTGAAACCAAGGTCTGGGCCCTGGGAATGATGGTTACTACTGGGGTGACATTGCTTGGTAGAGCTTGGTAGTACATGTACATATACTAACCCATGCACTTATCTACTATTGTTTCCGTATCTATCCATCTATATATGTATATTAAGCTAAACACAAATTTATATTGATGTACTACAAGGTTATTTCAGCCTTCTATTCTTGTTTATCAGTAAGTTTTCTTTCCAATAATGAGGATTCTGGCACCTACCATCCATCATCCATTTACTTGTTTTTTCGACCCCAGTATACATATAAAGCAGTTTCATATGTCTGCATGATAAACAACTTTGACAAGTAGAATATATTGCTTACGTACAATTCCTGTTTTCTTTGCCCTTACAGTTTCCAGTCTAAACACAATTTCCAAAATTACTTAGGTCATTTCTATTTCTCCCTACCCCCATAGTGCAGTTATATCGTATATTTGTAATATAGATTAATGTTTTCACAGTCTGAATTTTATCTTGTGATCCCCTGACATTCTAGTTGTTTTTTATTTTATAATTTGCATATGTCAATGTTTACTCTTTGTGATGTAAAGTTTTATGAGTTTTTACAAATGCATGGAGTCATATGTCCAACACTGCAGTAGCATATAGAACAATTCCATAAAATTTCCTCTGAAGAATACAATAAGTTAACATTTTATGCAACTTAGTGTAAAATAAATTTATCAGATCTTCCTGAGACAGATACTGTATGTTGGCTCACTCTACACCTATCCGACCCCTCCTTATCCTAATTCCTCTTCTTTATCTTATTTATAACCTTAGAGGCTGGATACCTTATTATATCTATGTCTATATCTATAGCTATATCTTTATCTAGTTTATATCTGTCCTAAATCGATGCCTCCCTTGCAGCTAAGTGTGGCCAGTAATACAGTCCTTGCCCTTTGGCTGTTTACACATCTCTCATTACTTTTCTGTCTGCCTGCAATACGGACTTGCGGATGTAGATGTTGGCTCAAGGTTCAATAGCCATTTTAAGACAATGAAAACAAAAACTAGAGCAAAAACTATAGGAAGAGCCTG